AAATATATATATATATATATATATATAGGCAACAGTAGAAACTTTAAAAAATAAAACTCAAACCTTGGTGTCATGGTGCATGACTATAATCCCAACATTTAGGAAGTATAGGAAGGAAGATCAGGAGTTCAAGACCAGCTTTGGAAAAAAATAGTTCAAATATATCATGGGAAAGATGAAACACCAGAGGGTGCCTGGCATGGTGGCACACGCCTTTAATTCCAGCACTTGGAAGGCAGAAGCAGGTGTATGTCTGTGAGATCAAGGTCAGCCTGGTGTACATGGCAAGTTCCAGGCCAGCTGTGGCTACAGGGAGACCCTGTCTCAAAAAAAGCAGAGGGGACTACCAAAATGCAAAGAGTAAGTGACCCTGTGGTGCCTAGCCCCAATTGATATACTGCAGTGTAACCCATACAAAAAGGCTCAGGGAACATCCTTGAAGAGAGGCCAGAGATATAGGAGCCAGAGGACCAGAATGCTTGCTGCTGGATAGTGTACCTGGACACGACAGGGAAGCTGCACCCAGGAAATCTTCACAATGTGGTTGTCTAAACAAAGCCTGTATAATGACAACACCAGTTGACCTGACAGTGTGGATGAGGGAAATTTCACAGGGTCCCACCTCTAGATGAAGAGCTACAGGCAATCAGTGGCTCCTGATTGAGGAAGAATCAGTTTTCTCCAGAAATAACCTCCCTAATAGGTTATACAATCTCAAGGGGGCAGCCCTAAACACATGTGTATACCTAAACACCACTAAGTGGACTCAGTGCACTCTATACTATATTATTGTTACATAAATGCATACACATATTTATATTACATTACATGTATGGTACTTATATATACATATAGAATTATATATGTATGTATATTATGCACATATATGTACATACACACATATATAGTGCATATATGTAACCCATTATATATCATGTCTTATATTATTGTTACATGTACATACATATATTTATATTATATATGTATATATATTATATTATATGTATGTTACAAAAACATGCATATATGTTATATATGTATGTATGTGTATGTAACAGTAATAATCAAAGAAGAGGACAAGAAATTGAAAGGATGGAACATGGAAGGAGGAGAGGGAAGTTCAAAAATGATGTAAATACAGTTCCATTTATGAACTTCTAAAAAAATTAATAAAACACAAATATTCAAAAGGGGGCCAAGAGAGAGGGCTCAGCAGTCAAGAGCACTTCTTGTTCTCCCACCGAACCTGAGTTTGATGCCCAGAACCCACATCTTGGGCTTGCCATTGCTGCAACTCTAGCTCCGAGGAATCTGACACCCTCTTCTGGCCTCTGAGGGCACTGCATACACATGGCATGCTCACACACACACACACACAACTATTTAAAAAATTAAAACCCAAAATAACATGAAACAAAGCAAAAATCAATTAAAAAAATCACTACTGGGCACTGACAAAGCTTCCTTTGTCTGCATCTTATAGTAGAAAGTCCTGCTATGAATTTGGGGAACAGTGGCCCATGGATTGGCAGTCCTGGACTGTAGTTTTGACTCATATCTTATTGGCTGTGAGACTTAAAAAAGGTTCTTAGACCTTAAAAAAGCTTCTGGAGACCAAATTTTCTCAACTTTGAGAACTGGACTAATTGCTAAAAGAAGTTCTTCCATTCTGTGATATTGATTTTATGTCTTGAACTGAAATCCTTAAGAACCAGAAGATATAAAACAAATGTTATTATCTAGTCTGAAGAAAAGGAGGAATTTACAGAAAAAAATAAATGTCAGTGAATAAAATGAGGCAGAACACCCCTAACCTTCAGAGCAGGAAGCCAGAGTTTTCTTCATTGAAAATCAGACAGAAAAACACCCCAACCTGATACACAACAGGACCAAAAGCAAATATTCCTGCATCTTTTCTCCCCATTTTTAACATGTAGTATTAGCCCTCCTCAGACAGCAGGGTAGATGCTGATGGTCACCGACAGTGTGTTTTTTCTGCATCTGTGACTCCTTTCCATTTTGTTTTCAAACTGGGTGACAAAAATGAGATTTTGCTGCCCTTGTTGTTATCTGGCTAAGTGATTGCCCTAGTTTCATCGCTGTTGCTCTAATAAAATACCCTGACAGAAGCAACTTAGGGGACAAAGGGTTTGTTGGGGTTGCTCACAATTCCAGGTTGCAGTCTGTCCATTATAAGGAAGTCAAGGTGACAGGAACCTGAAGCAGATGGTCACATCCACAGTCAAGAGCAGAGAGAGGGTTTATGCATACATGTGAGTGCTCAGCTCACCTTCTCTACTCTTCCACAGTTCAGGATCCCCTGTCGAGGGAATGATGCCACCCATGGTGGGCAGGTCTTCTACCTCAGTTAACATAGTTAAGACAATCCCCCACAGACAGACGTAGGATGACGACCTGATCTAGCCAATCCCTCATTGAGACTCTCTTCCCAGTAAATTACCACAGTGGTATATTTGTGTATTTTCTATGCACAAGCTGAGGCTGCCTTTGGCCTCCCTGTGGTCCAAGAGTGGGCACAAGAAATCCTGGCTGTCCCTGTTCTTCCTCCCTGCCTCTCTCTCTCTCTCTCTCTCTCTCTCTCTCTCTCTCTCTCTCTCTCTCTCTCTTCTCTCCCCCTCTGAGAAGAGTCTCCCTATGTAACCCAAGCTGGCCTCAAAGTTGTAATGATCCTCCCACCTCAGCTTCTTGAGTGCTGGGATTACAGGTGTGAGCCATCAAGCCTGGTTTCATTTTTTTTAAAATAGGTGTTCATTTTGTAGAGAAAACATGAGTGTCTGTCATTTTCTGGGGAAGTTTTAATGAAAATTCAGGAACTCAGATTATGGATTATGAGAAAGTTAGGTAGAGATGAGACCCATATTACTGTCTAAAAGCTTGTAAGGGAAAAAACAGAAGGGAAGAAGGGAATCAACATAAACAAAGGATCAAGAGTGATGGGCTTGTTGGAATTCAGGATGTGGGACAAGTCCATGTGTGGGCAGGGGTGAGCCAACAAAGAGAGTTTGAAGGCAAATGAGTAAAATAACAGATGCAAGAGGATTCCTGGGTAAGTGGCAGAATAAAGATGGCTGGATTAACCTTTCCTGTTCTAAAATTTATTATTATTTTCAGTCGAGTGTATGGGTGTGTATCTGTATGAGGGTTTATACGGATGAATGCAGGAGCCTGTGGTGACCAGAGCTGTTGGAGTCTCCTGGAGCTGGTGTTATAGGAAGTTGTAAGCCACCTAATACGGCTTCTGGGAACTGAACCCTGGCCTTCTGCAAAAGCAGTACATGTTCTTAAGCACTGAGCCATCTCTCCAGTCTCTGACCTCTTCTTTTGACACAAGAACTATCTGACTGATGCAACTTCAGTGGCATGTACGAGCTTGAGTCATAATATTGAGAGTTTACTGGGAGATGGTAAAGGAGTGATGAGGCAGAGGGATCTTCAAAAGGATGCTGAAGATCTGAAATTTGGCAGGAGAGATGGAAGAGGAAGGCAACAATGTTCTTGGCAAGATCATATACACAGGCTGCTTGGGAGATGACCTTGCGGAACCTCTGTCTCCAATCTCGGTTTAGCTACCTTGCTGGGAGGAATATAAAGCCGAATGGAAGTTATTCCTTCCAATATTCTGTCACCCACAACTCTCAGCCAGGCATGGTGGAGCATGCCTTTAATCTCGGCACAAAGGAGGTAAAGGCAGGTGACTCTCTGTGAGATTGAGGTCAGCCTGGTCTACATAGTGAGTTCTAGGCCAGCCATAGCTACAGGGAGACCCTGTCTAAGGAAAAAAAAAACAAAAAACCCTCAAAACAAAAACTACGACTCTTGCTCCAAAGCGGATAAGAGATGCTTTCTTTATTCTAGAGCTAAATATCAGTGACTGTGACTGTGAAACACAGATTTCGGTTACCTTAAATTCCATGTTCCAAGATAGAATCTGTTTGGTTAAATTTGTATAGTAACAGAACAAAGGAAGTCATAAATTAAGGCGCTTTTCAAGTCCTTTGGTAGAAACATTAGGTAAGCAGGTTACAGCAAAGTAGAAAGTCTGCTATAGGCCTCAGATGCTATCTAACAGCATGGTTAGCCTTTTGGTTGGTTGGAAACTAATGCTCTTTTGTACATTCCAGAGGGTTTACCTAATAGTCACAATGATGTTAGGTCAGGTACAGGGGAGGGCTAATGGTTATTATGGGGTAAATATGTCAAAGATAATCCAGCTCTGGATTTGCAGCATTCCAACATGACTGAAGTTCTAATCAGTTAATCAACTTTGTGGAAGGTTCAGTGGAAGGTGACGTACTTTTTAAGAAATTTCTTTCATAGTTCCTAGTGCCCGGAACAGTGTCTGACAAAGAAAGGCACTCAGTGTGACAGGTTTAATGAATGATACATTCGTGAGTAAAAAAGGAAATACTGCATCAAAAAGCTATTATTATTTTCCCCAGTAAAACGCATGTTCTTTGTTTTAAACGTTATGTTCCAGTTTAATGATTCAGTATTTAAATTTTTATATTCTCTATAATCTTTACATTAATGCCTGAAGGATTTATTCAGAGAACAGAATGCTAAATTGTACAAGAATGAGACAAAGCTCTACCAGAGGATATTTTTACTATGAATATTTATTTTTCTAGAAGTTCTTTTAGTGACAAATATGTAAATCAAAGAACTATAAGCACAGATGTGAAAAGGGGCAATGTCTCCTTCAAAGCCACTTCCTTGTTTGCTGCTAGAAGTTGTAAAGAAAATTCATCTGGACAATGAAAAACTGGGTGATGACTCTAAATTCTAGAAAAGAGAATCACACACGATGGAGGTGAAATAAAAGACTGTTAATGACATCAAGAAGTCAGGAAATTCTCACCACCAAAAGAATACTGTTTATGTCAAACTGTTATGGGATCTCACTCTGGCTTCCCCTGGGCTCCTTTGGAGCACCATTCAATGAATCCGGGTGAGATACAGAGGGAAAAGTAAAGGATAGAGGTCATTAAAGAATAACAGGAGGAACGTTCAAGTGTTGAGAGTGAGTCTTTGGGGAGGGAAGCACTCTCATGGGGTGAGGATGGACAACAGCCAATGGGACCATAATGACAACCTACATGCTTAGGCAGGCTTTATACTACTACTTAGCATGTTTAGGACAGACAGCTTTCCTGCTGGGCATTTTCATGTCCCAGTGACTAACAAGCTGATTTGAATGACCTCTTAAAGAAGGGGGACATTGAAATGTCTTTGTTCTTTACCTGAAGGCCTCCTGCTTGTATGTAATCTTACAATGCTGGTAGTTTGTAAAATAATACCTTTACTCAAGATCAGAGATACAACTCAGATTCATTCTTTTGACCAAGATCATGCAACAGAGCAGATTAGAAGGAATTAAAGAAAGAAAAATTAAAATAATTCTATAAAAGTATCGTGTTTAACCAAGAGGAAATATTTCCCCTTAATACACCTTGACATACTCTGCTACCTTCACTTTCCCTCTTTGTGTCTGGGCTGTAGCTATCTTCATATATTTAAAAACGTAAAGACTAGCAATTGTAATGCTTCCTTTCTCCTTAACTGTAACATTTCCCCCTTCCTTAGGATTAGTGAGTTAGGGGCTGGAGAGATGGCTCAGCAGGCACTGGCTGCCCTTGCAGAGGACCCAGCATCCACATGGTGGCTAACAACCAACCGTAACTCCAGTTCTATGGGATCTGATGCCCTCTTCTGACATCCATGGGCATAGCACATGGGTGCACTTACATATATATAGGCATTATATTCATACACACAAAATAAAAATAATAAATAAAATATTTTTTTTAATTAGTGAGTTAATAGAGACATGGGAGGCATGCTCAAAAACTGATTATGAAGGAGGGGGTCTATTCTCAATGACCTTCAAGCCTGATAATTTCTAATTAACTAACTAATTAATTATCTAGCTAACTAACTTAAATGATTGTTTTTTCTTTATGCAGCAAAACTCTTCAGATATACTTACCAAACCTAAATGCTTAAAGTCATTCACTATACTACAAAACAAAGGTGAGTTACAATATATTCAGGGGTTGTAAAAGGTTGGGAGAGAGACCATGAATGCATGATCTGAAGAAAATTCAGTAGAAACTATTGAAAAATGAGATGACCAGCTGTCTGAGTTCATCTGGAATGTGCTCAGTGACCCAGAACAATGCCAAGGATCTGATGCTAGTAGAGACACTATAGATATATATAGTCACATTGAATATCAAGGTTCTGGGGTTGAGGAGTATGGTTAGACCAACCCCAACTGCATCCTTATTGGAGAGTCACTCCTCCTGTGCCAGCTGCTGAGCAGAGAGGATGCCTCAGTGTGCTCAGTAATGGATACCTATTCCTTACTAAACTGTCCTAGGGGAGAAAAAAGCCACAGCTGATAAAATTGAGCAAGCACTGTCCCCTCCACCTACTGGTCTTGTATCCATATACTGGTTACAACTGGTGATCAATATTCAAACACTCCAAAGAATCCCAGTACTCTTGGAGGAATGGTGGGACATGGGAAGAGGAGACGTGTAACAGGTTTAGTGGCAGTCATATCCAAAGCCCTAGCCCCATTTCACATTAATTATAGTATCATTATTAAGTTGGGAAAATGAACAACTATTAGATCCTCTTCAAAATTATTTAAATGCCAACTGAGGAGAGCTCAGCTCTAAAGGGGACGCCTGTATCCTACCTTCTTACCCCAGAGCTCAGGGATCAACATGGAAGACGGGATGGAAAGATTCCAAGAATCAGATGTAGTAGATGTCTACAACAAAATAGTATTTACTGGATCTGACTGGGCATTGCTCACAAGACCTGCACAAGTTCAAGCTAGTCAAAAATCCCAGCATGGATGAGGGAGGGGCTCCTGAAGTCTCACCCCTCGATGAGGAGCTATTAGCAACTGAAGGCTGATAGGGGTGAGAGAGTCAGTTTTCTTCAGAGATATAGCCTCTGGGAGGCTGCCCATGCTCCACTCGATGGCCCTGTACCAATGAACATACAAATAGTACTAGGTGGACTCTGGGTTTAAAAAAAATGATCTCATGAAGTTGGGAGGGAAAAATGATGGGGGAGATAGGGGACGAATTAGAGGAGAGGGAGCTGAGGTAGAACTGATCAAAGCATATTATATGCATGTGTGAATTCTCAAACAAAAAAAGGTTTGAAAAAATATTTAAGGTTCAGAAACATTTTAAGTGTCTGGAAAATGAGTCTATCCTGACTCTTATTACTGCCACCAACCAGTCCGAGTGCTTTAAACTCAACCTTTCCAGCTATTATTATTATTATTATTATTATTATTATTATTATTATTATTGAGACAAGGTCTCTCTGTAGCCACAACTGGCCTGGAACTTGCTATGTAGAGCAGGCTGGCCTCGATCTCACAGAGATCTCCTGCCTCTGCCTCCCAAGTGCTGGGATTAAAGGCAGCACCACGCTTTCTAGTCTTTTATTCCTCACTAGTGAAATGAAGAAGCAGAAGATCTCTAGGACTCTTCTCTGCAATAGCTCGCATTGGCTTTTAAGTCTATGTTACCTCATTTCCTAGCAGTAGATGAAAAAGATAGTGTTTCTCACCTCCAATAGGAGATGGCAAACAAATGCAAGCTCTGTTGTGTCAGCGAAGTGCCATCGCTCTCAACCAACCAAGAATATTCTACATCTTTTCCTAGCCTTGTCCTAGAACTTAATATCCGACAGGCTGATTATCATTTTGATTCTACGTTTGATTCAGATAACACAATGACTTATCTCATTTTCTTTTCTCCCTTCAGGCAATTACACCCTTTCTCAAATTGGAGATTCTTCTAATGACATCACCCTAACTCAGTATCTATCAATGGAATAAAATCAGGAGCCATAAAATCAAGGACAAATTCTTTTAGAGCAATGCAACATTCAGAATGAAGTGTCAGTGAAGACATTATGCTCAGAATCAAATGGGATTGCAAGACTTCGAATCTGAGAATAAAACAAGTGACCTCAGTGGCTTCAGTCCTACTTCCTGTATCTTAAATTTAATAGAAGAAATTAATTTCCAGTGGCTTGATTCAAAGAAGTTGCTCTACAAATGCAGAAGAGTGGGCTTTGTAAAAAGGGTGCGAGTTGGACTTCTCATGACCACAAAATATGATTTTCTTTTTCATGAATAGCACATTATAGGGCTGGAGTGATGGCTCAGCAGTTCAGAGCACTTTGCTGCTCTTCTAGAGGACTCTGGTTCCCAGAACCCATATGGTGACTCACAATCAACTGCAACTTCAGTTCCAAGGGGATCCAGTGCCCTTTTCTGGCCTCCATGGGCATTGCACACATGTGGTACACATATATACATGTAAACAATTCATACATGTAAAATTAAATAAATAAATCTTTTATAAAATGACATTATTTTCTTTTTGTTATTTTATTCTTTTTTCCTTTTGAGACAAAGTCTCACTATGTAGCCCCAGTTGGCCTGAAACTCACTATGTAGACAATCTTAGGCTGGCCTGGATTTCACAGTGATCCACCTGCCTCTACCTCTTGAGTGCTGGGATTAAAGGTGAGCACCACTACATTCAGCTATAAAAGGTGATATTGTTTTCAATGTCTCAACAACAGAAATAAACCTAGATCACCCTCTTAACTTACAAAGTAGACTTCTGGGAGTGATGGCCCATGCATACAACATCATAAAGATTTCTTTGATTTGCATATAAATTTCAAGGTTACTATGTTGCTGTAGAAATGAATCAATAACTAAAAGTCAAAATATTCCCTTTCCCCTTTTCTGGCTTCTTGACCATATTTCATCAGCCACCCTGTTCTCTGCACCTCATCTCTGCACTGAGTCTACCTGACATTAAAAAAAAAAAATCACGGTAGGTGAAGAGAGAACATGGAGCACTAGGTGTGGATAGCATGTTTGTATTCCCAAAGGCAGAGGGATCACCTCAAGTTCAACTCCAGTCAGGGCTACATAGTGAGAGACACTGTTTAAAAAAAAGTCAAGTGAGGGTATTTCTAGTTATCAAGAATGTGTTAAATAGGCCTGCAAAGAGAAAATCCAATCTTAAAGTTTAACAAGGCACAACATATATAGTATACCAAAGTTGGGTGTTCAGAGAGTCTAACTGAGGACTAGTTAGATGATTTCATACCCCATCACAAAGTAAACAAGTGATAAGAATATTTTGGGAGAAAGATTTTTCTGGAGAAAATCTTCCATGAGGCTTCACACTCTACTTCAGAAGGGAGATAAAGAGGGGTGTCTGTTCTCTTACCTCAAATCCAGTGAATGGATTTCTCAACTAGTCTTGACAGGATCATGGCCATTAAGATACCTGGCTGACTGGGCTCTGTATCTTGCTTGGAACTGTGGTCAAGGCTCTGGAGGGAGAGGCCAGGCAGAGCTCTGTGTTGAGAGCTCTTTGCATGCTTAGTGTTTGCAAAGGCAAAGTGTGTGTGTGTGTGTGTGTGTGTGTGTGTGTGTGTGTGTTTGCTTCTCAGGGACCAAGGACACCTGCAGAGAAAGAACTAACACATGACTAGATTTGGCTCTGTCTGCTAGGGATGTGCAAAGAGATGAGCAGATCCCAGCATTAATAATTTGGAGGTGAAACCACAATTCTAGATGAGGAAGGAGTCACAAGAGACCCCATCTCAAATAAAAAGATTTTGAAGAGCTAGAGAGCTGGCTCAGCTGTTAAGAGCATTGGCTGTTCTGGCAGAGGACCCAGGTTCAGTTTTCAGCACCCACATGGTGGCTAACAACGGTCTATAACTCCAGTTCCAGGGGTTCTGATGCCCTCTTCTGGCCTCTACAGGCACTGCATGACAAGAGTGCACTTACATACATACACACAATACACTCAAACACATAGAATATATATATTTTTTAATTTAAAAAGATTTTGCGGCACTACTATCCTCAGGCCTCTTGGGGTAAGTCTATAGCGCAGCTCTCGGTGCCGGGACTCCCTAAGCTACATTCACCCATCTATCCCCCGCCTCGCCGTTCTATACTCCTAGTTTGGGCCCTGCGCCATTCCTAGTCTCGGGGCCCCAGACACCTGGGGAACCAATACTGCTTCTTGACCCTTCCCACCCAGAGAAACTCAGTCCCTTTCTTGGGCTCCAGGAGCACCACTTCTGGTCCTGGCCCCACCCTCACCTCTCTCTGCTTCCCTGGACCTGCATCACTGGCTAACTCTCCTAGCCTGCACT